CTGGCATGAGAAGCGGAAAACTTAACCTCTAGGCCACCACGACAAGTAGATGACCACAGCTTTGTTCAAATGGATTTTTCTATTCTTTTTTGTTCTATTTTAGTCATCAAATGTGGCGATTTAGTGGCGTACCCAAAGTTTAATGACCCTTTCCAACCGTGAGTTTTTTTTATTTGTCCATTTATTTTTTATGCATACGTAGTAACGTATGCTACGACAAAACGTCAGTGCAGTTGTAAAATCGTCGCATGTCAATTGATAGCCGCAGATATAATACTGAATGCCTTAGCCTGCATCTTATTGTGTGTTAATTAGAAGGCAATCTTATCTTTATGATACAATAAATATAATATTGTATGTAACAATAAAATAATAAACTTGTTTAGTCTGCAACAAGAATGATGTCTCACAAATATCCTTGCCATTGTACCTAAGAAAGTATTTTTCATTAATTTTACAGTACAATAAAAACAATAAAACGAATATTATTGTAGGATTTAAGACTAAAGAACACAATGTTGAAAGTATGAAGAAAAATAAATAAAAGTTAAAAGTACGTCGCTTTTAGAGCAGGGTAACACCAACAGAACCAAATATGAAATAGTGCCATCTGCACTTAATTATAAGAACTAAAATGAGATCCAAATCTTATATATATATATAAAAGAAAGTCGTGTTAGTTATAACTCAAGAACGGCTGAACCGATTTGGCTGAATATTCGTAGGGAGGTAGCTAAGAACTGAAAGAAGGACATAGAGTAAGATAAAGTAGGGAGTGTAGGTTAGGCAGAGTAGGGTAGGTAGGTAAGGTAGGTAGAGAAGGTTAGGTAAAGTAGGGTAGGTAGAGTAGGGTAGGTAGTCAAATGACGGAAGCGACGCCGCGGGTAAGAGCTAGTTAGACATAAAGTAGTTTAACTTAGGTGTCATTCTCAAGGACAATACCCGTTAAAATATTAATTTAAAAGAAATACACAATTTAATAGTAAAAATAAAAGAAATCGTGTAAAACTTTTATTTAATTTTAATTTATATTGTCATTCTTTTCTCTATTGTAACTGGATTATGTGCAGTAAAATTGTAAGGTACAATTTGTATTGTGTTAACAATATAATTTATACTGTTGGCCACGTTTCTTCAATTGTAACACTATTTATCTTCTCCAACTTTGTTGCTAATGAAGATATTTATGCATGAGGCTTTATTTACGTTTCTTATGTAAATAAAATTGTAAATGTCATAAAGAAATTTTCTTCACGTGAAAGAGCTTCAGTACAAATTGAGGCAACACAGCAGGAGGAAACCCGGTCTTTTGAAATCATCAGTCCGTTTTGAGCAAACGTGCTGATTAATATCAGGGACGCTCTTCTTTATGTGAGAAGATGAAGTCGTGTGAGAAGAAGTTACATGAGAAGATACAAAAGAACTTACGAGAGAAGAAACTGATGATGTAATTATGTGATGTGTGATGATCTTGTGTATTTTAGTCAGATATGACTGCACGGTATAAGAAATGGCTGAGCAACTAGCTGCTGTGTATCCTGTCACTGATTCTGCTCCTGTACGTAGCAATTGTATGTATGATGCACAAATTGTTATTTCGTTTATTAGTAATGTGGAAAAGTATGACAGACCAACGGCACACGAGAAAATCCTTAAGTGGGTCAATTTACTCTGTAGAGTCACATGAATTTAATATCCAACGATCACCAGAGAACTAACAAAGTGATGTAATAATTGAGAATTCGATAATTTCAAATTTGATAATCGCTGAGTCATGGCTGATTCAAATGCATGAGCTAAGCGTGTGGGATGACTTAATTTCCATTGTATTATTAAAAAAATATTCCCCTACAAAGTCACATCTCCACCTACAAAGGAGGTGTACCTACTTTTTATAAGGTTAACGTGTACCTTTTGCAATGCTGTTCGTATTTATCGATGAATTTTGTTTTGTATATAAAAAAACGTTGCCATACGCTACGATTTTCTCCCGTATCGATGGTGGGTTTACAAACATACAATTATGCGTTTACAAGCACACACACAAACACACAAGACACCCAGACCTGGAACAACCATTTGTGGATCACACAAAGAGTTGTTCCGTGCGGGAATCCAACCGGTTGCCCAGCCACCGCGCCTACCGTGCAGTGTAATTGATTGATTGAGGTCATGGTTACAATTTCTAAGGCTATTTGAATATTTCTTCGGCAGCAAAAACTGGTTAAATATACACATACTGATAAACGACATTTTCAACCTTCTGGCACAGTTGCCATGGTAGGTACATACGGCTTCATAACAAGCTATAGGTACATATCCAGTTTATTATGATCTTGCTTTTTGTGATCTTTCCACGCATTCAACAGTCAGCTTAGTTTAGTTTTTTATTTATATTTTGATGTACAGTCGTTTGAGAATTCTAGTGTTATCGTATTTATTTCTATTTTGAGAACACAAGGTCGCAGGCATTTGGAAGATGTAGGCCAAAATAAATTGACATAGGTGATTTAGATAAGTATGTTTAAAAAATATTTAGTGCACAAATTTGTATGCAGAACAAAGTTAAAACAAATTTTACTCGTAAAATTCAAAAGAAAGGTTTTTTTTTAAATCGACTTTCTTTTTTGTTGCACGTCGCTCTCATAAATATCTTATTTACACAAATAATTCTTTTTCCTTCGAAATTCAACCAGACCACGCAGGGAGGTAGTTAGTAGACCACTACAGACGGGGCCCTACGGGGCCATGTTAAGCTAGCATAACCGCTTCCTCGGTTTAGATAAGAAGAAGGAACTTAAGGAAGGGGAGTTTTTAGTAAGTAAGAGTCTGACACTCCCTCTCGCCTTACCCTGGGCAAGAGAAGCGATTTCATGATTTTCAGTGCAAGACAGCAGCCAGTCGCCCAACCCTTAAGGTGTCTGTCGAATCAATAACATATGTACAGATTGCAAGTTCTTGTGTTAATACTTCCTGAATACTTGACTTATAAGTAAGTTAAAAAAGAATTATAATACATAATGTATGTACTTACTTACAAATGATAAGTACAGTCAGGTTAGTAAACATAATACCTTATTAGTTCTGGTTTTCAATACAATAAAAATTCCTTTCTAATTCGGATTGAAGCCAGTAATCCATTTACGCAGTAACTTATACTGTGCAGGCTTTTTTTAATGAATTAGATCTAAAATTAAAATTATAATTTCATTAATTGAAATTTAATATAACCTAATATTTATAGCAAACTTGCAAAAAGTTATATCCGAGACAAAAAAAGAAAACAAACAAAAATGCTCTATAAAAATATAGAAAAGGTCAAAGCAATCAAGGTCATATTGTATTTATTTGAATGTTTTAGCTGCTCACGATAATAAAAACTTAAGTGTCCAATAGTGCGTTAATAATAACGATGATTATTTAATTTATTTATCCATAAGGTTAAGTTTTTTTTTATGTAATAAGTCGGCAAACGATCAGACGGATTACCAGATGGTAAGCAAACAGCGCTGCCCGCTCCGCAAGGGAAGAGTTTCGAGTGCGTTGCCGACCTTTTAGGGATTAGGGATTTGGAGATTTAGGGATTGAGTGGAGGGGAAGGATTGAGCCTCCGGTAACCTCACTCACACGGCGAAACACAACGCTGTGGTTGTTTCACGCCGGTTTTCTGTGAGGCCGTGGTATCACTCCGGTCGAGCCAACCCATTCGTGCCAAAGCATGGCTCTCCCACACTTAAAGATAGCAAAAGTGCAAGAAAGATAGCAAAAAAAACGTTGTTTTATTGGTTTTTAAGCATGACTAAACATTTTTTCAAATATAAAAATAATATCGCGTCATTAGTAAACTATTTATGTAGTACATTTTTACATCTGTTTAATTTTTTTCTGTATGTTTTTGTGTCTGATATGTTGTACTATGACAATGACTAAAGTCATTAAGCGTAAGTGTCATATTATTGAAGTTAACCTAAATCGGAGTCGATTCCTGCCTGTGTTAAAAGTCATACTACAGATGATTTTAGTAGACAGTTTGTCTAATTGCTTTTTAATTCAAAATATATTTATAAATTAATTCACTGATTCCTTTATCGCTGATTTAAATGTTTATTTAATTCACAGTATCTAATGGTTTTCCAATTACTTCTCACAGCTAGTGGCGTCGTGCATAAGTGAATGCCAGTCATTATTTTAAGCAAGGACGTGACTTTTAACTATTCATTAAAAACTTTATTATTGCATTCACTGTGCGACTTATTTGTCGATGTTTAGAGAGCGAATTTTGTGTTTTTATAAGTTATTCCTCTTGATAAAAATTTAAAAGTTTAAAGTAAAATAATTTATTTTAAAACAAAAATGTGTGTCAAAAATATGTGTCAGTCTGTCCTCCAGTGAAGTGTCAGTCTCATGAATGGAATATATATATGAAATTAATACTTTCATAATAGTTGTTAACAAAAAAAGGTTTCAAAATCTAACATAGATCCATATTACCCAAAGAATTTGACTGTACAAAAATAGTGTCACATCGACTACCTGTATTGAACTTCATCTAACATTATTCTCTTTTGTGACGTAATAAAAAGATCGTAAAAATAAACTATAAAATTGCATTGCAATAAACCTGGATGAAATGCCCTCCAAAATATACTACGGTGTTTGTATTAGTACCGAACTCTCAGATCTAAGAATGCCTTTTGAATAGGACAGCCATGCTTGGGCGCGAATGGGCCAGCGCGACCGGCGTGTAACGACCACAGCGTTGTGTTTCGCCGTGTGAGTGAAGTTATTGGAGGCACAATATTTCTCCTGCCCCGATCCCATAATCTCCAAATCCCTAATCCCCAAAAAGGTCAGCAACGCACTCGTTACTCCTCCGTTGGTGCGGGTGTCCGTGCTTGCCGACCTATCACAAAAAAGAAATGAAAAGCAGAAAATATAAGTTAGGAATGTATTTTGTAGTTAATTTGAAATTTATTACCGCTTGCCCTAAGGGCAGTAGAAACCATGTCGTTACACTGTATTTCTGGTTTGAGATTTAAGAAAGCGCATTCTTTATAACAAGAGGTATAAATCTGCGGTCGTCGATTGGGTCGTCACGCGTATTAGAAGCGGATGTGCGATTACAGTCGCGCCGTGAATGGGTGTCGTTACGACAATCGAGTTACAATGCATTTGTTCGTTGGCCGAACTGTACCTTGTCCTACAAATTGTGATTTACATTCATTATTGAGACTTAGTCCCGCGCCATGGTCCAGTGAAAATGCACGCGGCATTTTAGTTGTTTTTTCTCCTTTGTTTGATAAACATGGTGACAATGAAACCGAGTGCAAAATAACACGCAAGTGTTCGATTTTTAAACTTATATTTTTTTAATAGTTAGTTGCCAGTTTGTTTTGTGCGAGTGTAGTGCTGTGTTAATATAAAAAAAAGAATTTAAAAAAAGTATTTTATAAAATTAACTGTGTAGTGATAATGTGGTAGTAAAAATATTAAAATAAAATAAATTAAACTAAGTAATAAAAATAGTAGTGTAGCGCCATGGCTTCCGAAGAAAAATCGATAAAAACTCATTTGGACGATGTGTTGGGAAAGTTTACGATGTTTGGACCTTACCACGGGCAGTTGATGTTGTTTTTAGGCCTGGCATACGCCTCGAACTCAGCCTATTCATCTAATTATGTGTTTGCTGTAGAAGAAGCCAGATATAGGTAAGTTTAATTTTTTGTATTTATAATTTAATGAGATAATTACGGAAGTTACGGAATCTTGTTTCTTCAACTTAAGAAGGTAATACCACTGAGATACCATTTCGTTGGAGCATGCAATGTATGTAGTTTTCCAAACAAATGTTGAAAAATGAAAGCAATGTAGGGAAACAAAATATATCTAGTTACACTGTAGTATTTTCGGACGAAGAGCCAATGTGTGACAAAGTCAATCAATTATGACAAATGCGGATCGAAGGACCATTTTGGTTCAACGACACTATAGTGCTCAATAAGGTCACCATTCTAATGGTCTGGCTAGCCAAATGCCAGGTGTGCCATTCGATATGAACTTGACCATGCCTTACGCAGATAAATAAATGTTATGATGTTGCTTGCCATGCCAGTGCCAGTAAATATGATATAAAACAGTAATTCCATTTTCTTTGAGCTAATTAGAAATATCTTCAATCGACAACGTGTGTAAATATGTATGATTTATATGCCAAGATGATGCGAAAAAAGTACGCTACAATATGAGAGGGGAATAAAATACTTCATTTTAATTAGTTTTCTTTGATTTTGTATTCTTGCTCTTGGCTGTTTCGTATTTGCGTGTCACGCAAGATCGCACAGTCTTGTCTTGCCTTTGTTAAACTGGTGCCCATTTTGGGGACTTGGGATATGCACCCACATTATTTTGAAGACATATTCTACAGGCTATTTATTACTCTGTGTTTGTCTCTTGTTTTTATTTTTTGTAGGATGCTTAATGTGAGTACTTTCTTCTTCAAGTTTGATTTCACCAGATATAAAAAATTTGGGAAAATAATTTCATGCAATATTTTTTTTTTAATATTGGCATTATATGTGTGTGTGACGAATCATGATTTATCATAATATTATGTCAATATAGTGTTAGTAATTTTCATTTTCTTTAATATTGATAGTTATCAATATTATTGTATATATTATTGTATACAGTAGTTAAAGGGTTAGCAATCATGAACTTTAAGGTCAAGACGTTAGGTGTGATGAAAGTAAACAAAGTTTAAAAAAAAATGACAAATCATTTTTATATGACAGTGCAATATTTGTAAAGTACATCAAAGAGTATTAATATTGTTTTAGTAATTAGAGTTTATTTTGTTTATTATCTTGAATGGATTAAGAGTCGTGGTAGCCAGGAAGTTATACCCACCTCCAAAGTACATATGAGTGCGTGGATTGGAAATCTGAAAAGTAGTGACTTTTTCAAATTATGTGTACTTTCTACGACTATTTAGACTTAGAAAAATATTTGATAGTATTTGTACTCATTGGAATATTTTTTTTAAATTACTGCGAACATTGATAGGCCAAAATCTCCCGTACAGGGTCACAAAGGTCAAATAATGTAGATACTTCACAAATATAGACAGCTGGATGTAACTGGTTTTACTTTGGTGACGAGGAAATCGACTATTACGTTTAATGAAAGAACACAGAAGAAGACACCGTTGCTTGAAGGTGTATAGGAGGAGTGGGGCGGGAAGGATTTCTTTCATTCACTGCTTTATACCTATTTATACGTATAAATACTCATCATATCAGCCCAATACGTTACTGCTAAACATGAACATACTTTTCTTTATAAAAAGTGGTTCCAATACGTTTTCTGGGTATTCCAATGACTTACGAATACATATAACATGGTCTTATTCGGGTACATAATATAAAGTTGATATCACACCCGCTTTTTGTTGTGATATGGGAATCGTGTTGCGAGGTATTCAGTTTCGTAGGGACAGTTTATAAACACAATCATGACACAAGAATCGAATCAAGATTTTAAACATCAGTGACCGATACCTTGGTACGATTGGATCAGCTCAACTGTGTTACAGTGCGTAAGTTTAATTAAGGTCAATACCCCATCTCTATTTCCCATACTCGGCCTAAAGCAGGAGAAAGAACAGATCTGGAGGGTGGGTTAAGTTAGTAAAAGCTTGACACTCCCTCCCGCACTACCCTGGATGGGAAAGTCATTTGATGATTTTCCCTTCACAAGAACAAAAAAAGTCACTTTAAACCCCAGTTCTTTGTCATAAGGCGGATCGTTTACAGATCTTTCCTATAAAAAATAGCCTCTTGACTCTTACGTTTAGCATAGTGTAACCTAGGAAAAGTAGGTAAGATGATATGAAACAGAAAAATGGACCTTGATAGCCTACACAAAAAGGTCATACAAAGGAAGGAAATTACTTTATTATTATTATTATCATAACAAGACAATAAAAATATCAAATCTGTCTGCATTCTACGAGGAAATTTAAATTTAAAAAGAGAATAAAAGAATTTGAATTAAATGAGCTTAAACAAAATGCTTTTCCATTTGATTTTGAAATACTGCGTCACCTTGCAAGGTACATAAAACGAATTAATGTAGATGTTAAAATTTGCCAATTTCAAAACATAACGTTCCAAGTTACTAAGGTCTTAAGAGCAGTCGCTTAAAATATATAAATAGTAAAGTAAAGTGTGGGAGAGCCATGCTTCGGCACGATTGGGTCGGCTCGACAGGAGTGATACCACGGTCTCACAGAAAACCGGCGTGAAACAACCACAGCGTCGTGTTTCTTTGTGAGTGAGGTTACCGGAGGCCCAATTATTCCCCTTCACCAATCCCTAAATCTCCAAATCCCTAATCCCCAAAAAGTCGGCAATGCACTCGTAACTCCTCTGTGGCGGGTGGTCATGGGCGGCGCTGATGGCTTACCATCAGGTAATCCGTATGCTCGTTTGCCGAGCATATAGCGTTATAACATAAAAAATATATAGAAAAACTGGAAAATATCTTTGTGCAAAGGAAATGTTATACATTTGCATTGAAATAGAGCAGTTTAAAGACGCGGCGCATTGTTATCGTGTGAACTTGATAGGAGAAACTACTGTTATAATAAAATTAATACATTGTATGTCATTGTCGGTTGTAATGAATGATAATAGCAACGTCGGAGATAATATGCATTATTATCACAGTACATCAGACAACTGTTTTATTATATATTTATCGTGGGATTAAATCCTTTTGATACCACAGAGTAATTTTCTGTTCTATAAAATTTAAGACAAAGGTATAGATTTCAATAAGGTTAAGTGTCAATGAGCCCTGCTTTGGCACGAATGAGTCAGTTCGATCTGAGTGATACCACGGCCTAGCAGGAACCCGGCGCGAAACAATCGCAGCGTTGTGTTTTGCCGTGTGAGTGTTACCGGAGGCTTCGTCCTCTCCCCACATCTTCAATCCCGAAACTAATAACCCTCAAAAGGCTGGCCACGCACTTGAGTAACTCCTATGGTTATGATGAGTGTCCATGGGCGGAATCGATAGCTCACCATTAGGTAATCCGTCTATTCGTTTGCCAACTTATCCCAAACAAAAATATGACAACAAAAAAGTCTGTTATACTGAAAGATGTACCACTGATTACTATAAATTAGTATGTATGTAACCTAGTGTATCCATGTTACATAGAGTCAGAAAGACGTTGAATAGGCATGGAAGTAAAAAAATAAAAATTGGCATACCGCCTTACTGACGTATTTATTGAATACTAATTTCTCTCGCGCGGTTTCATCCCCCTGCTCCCCTCCATTTGATCGCAGCGTGATGTTTTATAGCCTATAGCACTCAGGAACATTGTAGCTATCTATCAGTGAAAGAATTTTGGCAATCCGACCAGCGGTTCCAAAGATTACCCCCTTCATACAAACTTACAAATTTTACCCCTTTATAATATTAGTATAGACATAACCAAGTCCCTAGTAGATGATATTGTTTTCGATACAAAATCGTGGGTTTAAGTTTCAGTAATCGTTAAACGTACGACAATTTTTACAGAGACGGTAGCTGTTGTTACACAAAATGATAACAATATGATTTTTAATGAAGTCATATGTTTTGTAACCATTGGTGGGCTCAGTAGCCAAACAATGATTACTGTCTCTATACTGAATCAATCTGTATTTTCGTAATCTATCTGACTGTATCCTGTGAATGAGAACCCTCATTAAAAAACCTGGCAAGTACCAATGTGACTCTTTCCAAGTTGTATTACGTATTTTTAAAGATTATTTAGGGTCACTGACATTCGATGAAGGCAAACATCGTGAGGAAACCTTTTATTGTGAGAGAAGAATCATCAAATGACTGGCAAGCGGTAGTGTCAGACTATTATTGGCTAAAACCACTTTGTTCCTTCTTTTATTATAGAGACCATCCTGTGGGGGTATTGGCTTATTGAGAAGCGCGCGGAACGCTACGCTTCGGTGTGGTTGTAGAACATTGCTCGATTTTAAACGCCCGCCATGTCACCTACTGCGGCGGGTGAGGCTTGAGAAACTCCTCTCCTCTCCTGTTCCTGCACGCGCTCCATCGTCGGTGGGAAACCTAGACTTACAATTTCAAATTATAAGTTTGAAATCGCCCATCCAGTGATGAATGCTCAATCCTTCTTCTTATAACAAGAGAAGGCGATCTGGACGTGATGCGATGAAAATAATATAAGTAGAGTATTTTTATTGTTACAGGTGTAAAGATGAAAGATTTGCAGAGGACATGTGCGGTACTATCAATGGGACGTCGTGCCCAGAATGGGAATATGATAAAACTGAGAGTTTCGTGGCATATGTAAGTTTCACATTTATTTTCGCACGCAATGACTGTTGTTCCATAAACATTGAAATAATTTTTGTTAGTATAACTGTAAAATCATAACAAGTCGACAACTGGGTCAATGCAGGTGCAAGCTTTTCTCTAAAAGGCTGTCGTCCTACTTGTAAGTCCTCTGGTATTACAAATGGTCATGAGTCATGACCAGTGCTTACCATCACATCATCGGTCTTTATGTAATATCATATCTAAAAAGATATTTTACACGTTTCAAAATAAGTACGGTACGGTAGTGTGTATACACATAAGCCCTCGATGTACCTACTAGTAGATTTTCCAATTTACAAAAGCTAAACTTAGTTCAAATATTATGGACGGAAAGGTATGCGGATCCGGCTAAGCTATTGAGCAGAATCTTAGGTTGAGATTAAATGAGAATATCAAAATCAAACAATTTAGAATTATATTTTGAATTATTATAATTATATTAATATTACGTTCTTATATTTGAAAATTGATTCCGCGCTGCCATCAACAGGCAAATTTTCAACTATGCGATTAGGAAGACTGGTTTTGAAATGATTATTTTTTAATGGTACACTAATTGCCTTGTCGTGCACACGACTACATAGGTATGATGTAAGTCTTAAAACATTCATCGAAGATAATAAATGAAATAAAATGCAATAAACATAATTGCAGCGTCCTCAATTCATGAATCCATCGGTTACATTTTAACTTAGAAAACCATTATTTATGAAATGCATCTCTCATACACTCTATACATCTACGTATGTATCTATACATACATACAGGACATACTGACACGCATAAAGTTGACTCATCCAATGTTTTTTCTTTTTGTTTAATGTACAAAAGTGCCTGTTGTGGTCTTTTTGAAATAAATGATTTGACTTTTGACTTTGAATTTGATACATATACAAATGCTTAAATAAAATCAGAGTGTCTATTTGTAATATCTAAATAACCGATGTTTACTCTGTGGTGGTATACGACATATAGACAAAGTAACACTTTAAAAAATATATTGGTCTGTTTACCTGTGTGTTTTTAGTAAATTCATACATACGCCATTTTCATTTTTAATAAAAAACTTTTTTTTTGTCTGGAATGAATATACTGTTTCCGCCAGATGGCGGCAATGCAATTTTCATCTTTGTATGCTAACAATAAAATACATCTTAACTTTGCAATGCAATTTTTCTTCATCGAAATCATGTTTTTGCATGTATAATATCTTTTTTCGTGGGAGGTTTTTAACAGATAGCGCAGATTGTTTACCTTGATAATCCCTAGTTACTCTGTCCATTGGTCTAATTTTACTTTCCCATCTACATACCAAATAGTTTTGCAGACTATATAAGATTGGTCCTTTTGCTTCCAAATAATATACAAGTCTATTTTTTTTCATCAGTTTCAGCTTGCCTGTCAAGATTGGAAGAGAACCCTGGTGGGAACGGTTCACAGTTTGGCTTACATGATTGGGCTTCTTTTTGTTGGTCCTTTATCTGACAGGTAATTTTATTTAATATTATTATATAATTTTCCCTTAACATAAAATAATAACATAAATAATCTACGTGCATTTACTACTGCTTAAGGATTTCTACAGTCAACCCAACCCATTTCAATATTATTGTCTTTCATAGTAAATAAAAAATACTTCATTACGCAATCAGAAATCAAGTTATTAATGCACTTAAAAAAACAGTTGCGTCTTACAACTACATATAATTTTTAATTGATATTTGCTTCTCACCGAAATACGTGCGCGCATTGCAAGTTAAATAAAACGGGTATTAATGAGAAGCCCTTATTATGCAGTAGGTACTGACTGTTCTGCCAGTCCCGAGAAAATTTCATTCCGATAACTCTATTAATTTTTTTAGAAGACAATAAAAACCGCCGAGCTTTTAAAATTACTTTGAAAATGTGGCTTTCAATAATTGAATTCTTCATTATACCATGCCATAATCACCATTCTCCTTTGTTTCTTGAAATATTGCCAGTGCTTTGTTCTTTTTACCATTTCAATTCAAACATCAATGAAGTATTTCGATACGCACTCTTCACAGTTAATTAAGCATGTACTTGTCGATTTATTTATTGCAACGTGAATAAAGATAAAATTGTATTTCATCTGTTAAAATGCTAATTGGCAATTTTAACAATGCAAATGGTAGATTTATGCATGGGAGATAAATAACGTATTGAAGGATAATATTGTTATTTAGTAGTTGGATATAATTAAAACAAATTTTAGTGTAATATCAACGCAGCGTTAACTAGATCTTTCTTTAATAGACAACTACAAAAATTGGTCCTTCTGGTGACGATTTTGTGGTCCTTATTCCAATATCTTTTCTGTTCTCAGAATAGGAAGAAAAGCTTTGATAGTAATAACAGGCGTGTTGGGTGGAGTACTGGGTATCGCCAGGAGTTTTGTTACTTCCTATTGGTTGTACATAGTACTGGAGTTTCTGGAATCAGCCTTCGGAGATATATGCTCACCAGCATACATTTTGAGTAAGTGACTGGAATTTTTATTTTCAAACATTATTCATAGGACTGTTGTACCTTTATTTTTTTTATTTTATGTAATAGCTCGGCAAACGAGCAGACGGATTACCTGATGGTAAGCAATCAGCGCCGCCCATGGACACTCGCAACGGAGGAGTTACGAGTGCGTTGCCGACCTTTTAGGGATTAGGGATTTGGAGATTTAGGGATTGAGGAGGGATTGGGGAAGGGGAAGGATTGGGCCTTCGGTAACCTCACTCACACGGCGAAACACAACGCAGTGGTTATTTCACGCCGGTTTTCTGTGAGGCCGTGGTATCACTCCGGTCGAGCCGACCCATTCGTGCCGAAGCATGGCTTTCCCACAAAACTACTTGTTTTCTATGAGTTATCCCTTGTTACAGACATAGAAATAATAGCCACTACCAAACGTGTTCCCTACTACATGCTGTGCGCTATCGGATACAGCGTCGGTGGTATACTCAAAGCTCTTGTAGCTTGGATGGTTCCTGACTGGAGAAACTTCTTACGTGTTCTATACGCTCCAGCCTTACTCTTCTTTTTATACATTTACTTGATTGACGAAAGTCCAAGATGGCTCCTAATAAAGGGCAAAAAGAAAGAAGCAGTAGCAATTATAGAGAAAATGGCAAAGAAGAACGATATCGCAATCGACCAGAAGGTGCTAGATAATTTAGTTAGCGATACAAAGCAAGAAGAGAATGTGGAATTTGGGACTGTTTTGAAGAGTACGTTTACTTCTGTGACCTTGTTTAAGAGGTTCATTGTATGTGTGATATGGTGGACGACTTCGACGTTTGTGAACTATGGGATGACGATAACATCAGTGTCCTTGCAAGGGAACATGTATTTGAACTATGCTTTAGTATCGATGACTGATGTCCCTGGTAGTTTTATAGCAATGTATGTGCTGATGAAGTATAATAGGAAGATCCCGTTGATTGTCAGCTTCTTGCTGGCTGGTGTATTTTGTGTTGGACAACCATTCTTGCCTACAAGTGAGTAAAGAAATTATTAGCTTTTATTTTTGTCGTATCTTTTTCACTATCTCACAAAACAGATATTTACTTGAGGTTTATTGTACATATTTTATTAGTAACTGGTTTCTGTTTAGTTTTAGCCAGTTGATGACGACTTTAATGTAAAATTGAATTTTCTTTGCAGACTTAGTTTGGCTATCAATAACAATGTTCCTGATCAGCAAAGTGATGGTGACTCTGTACTTCGCCATCACCTACATGTATACGTCGGAATTATTCCCTACATACACAAGGAACTCTATGCACGCGTTGTGCTCGTCCTTGGGACGAGTGGGATCTATAGTAGCACCGCAGACACCACTTTTGGTAATAATTATTTTCTATTTTAATAGATAGACTGACTTGCAATGCAATGTCGTTATATTCATTATTTTTCTGTAAAACTATTTTACTTATGAACCACATAAGGTTTTCTTTATCCACTGTTTGATAACCGTCTATAATAGCATCCACCCTTAACTTGTTGTGAAGTACTTGTTATGAGTATTATATTAGGTTTTGTTTACTATATACCTTTTGTGTATAGTTTAAGTTGTAATTAGTCTTGTAATTTAATAAGAATATTCTTTTTTTGTTTCAGACGATGTACTGGCATGGTCTTCCATCATTAGTGTTTGGAATCTCATCACTAGTGGCTGGGTTCGCCACCTTCTTAGTTCCCGACATCGCCAATGATGCATTACCTGACACTGTCAAAGAGGCTGAAGCGATAGGCAATAAAGATAAACCATTAAAAGTTAATCATGACGTTGTAAATAAAAGTTTTGACTGGAAAGAGTAAGAGAGAGAGAGAAAGAGAGACACACACACACAAAGATAGAGAGAGAAAGACCGAGACGACGACGAAATGAATAGGTTTGTGTAAAAGGTTATGGTGTGTCTTTGTGTTCTTTATGGCGGCAAACGAGTAGACGGATGACGAAACGAGTACGGTGCCTGTCTTTTGTGGGTTAATAGACATTTGGAGATTGGGGTAGTAGAACGAAGGAATGACGGAGGGAAACTCAGTCACACTTCAAAATAAAACTCTACTCTAGTTTCTTTAGTTACTCTTGTTGAACCAGCCCATTCGTGCCAAATCACTCTCCTATAACTAAAATGTGTTTGCTTGTTCGTAATTTCTTTCACATGACATCGAATTTAAAAAAATAGCCTGACAAAAAAGTATATATAGGTATTGCTTAGACATTATAATGTAGTGTTAGTAAAATCAATTAAAAACAAAATTAATGTGTTATGAATAGGAGTATAATAATGATATTGTATTAAGTGATTTTTTGTAGCTATAAACGTGTACATTTGTACAGAATTTGTATGTATAAAGTTTTGTGTAGTTGTAAAGTGTTATAAATGTACTTTAACTAGTTATTTTATATATGACATAATATTTTAAACCTAATATAGGTTTTAAATAAATGTTTGCTCAAATAATGGTTTTCATCTAAGAGAAAATACGAATGCTTACCAAGTGTTGTCTGGAGAGTATCTGACAAAATACGTACAGGCTAAACATAAAAAAAATAAATTTTAGTGTTTAGATTAAGTGACATATTTATCGTCAAAGTCAATCAGACTATTTATTGTAATTAAATAAAAATATCGTTTTGAAATAAGGTCATGCTTAAAGAATAAATTAATAAAAATGAATTTTTTTATGCTCCTTGTGTTTTTTTTCTGTCTTCTTGGGTCAGTCTGCTAAGCCTTTTGCCATTTGAAACGTGATTTCTTAGAACATTACTGGTTTTCAGATTTCGAAATATCTCAATGATAGTAAGAAGACTGCGAAGGTGTATCACTCGTTGTCATCGGGAAACAAATATACGTATCACGTGATAGTAAGCAATCTCTGCCGCCTTTCGACACCCGCAATGCCGGAGCAGTTACGGGTACGTAGCCAGCATTTTGTGTATAGGGATTTGCTGCTTGGATGCGGGAGAGTGACGATGGGGCCTTCGGTACCTAACCTCACTCATACGGCTAAGACACAACATAAAGATTGTGGAATAACTACACGAGTATGCATTCGTGGATTAAAAGACGAGATATAATAATATTTTACACAACTTTTTTTTTAACTGTAAGTACTTTAGACTTACTCTAACTTTGCCGAGGGACAGATTCAATTTTGACGTTCCAAAATTGTACTTTTTAAGTATGATACTTATGATTTTTAGTTTTATAAAATGATTAGCGACCCGCCCAGCTTCGCACGGGTGTAGGTAATGCTGGTACTAAATTGCTCCACTATTGAGTGTATTTTATTGTGCATAAAAACCTTTATCTTTAATCACTCTATCCATTAAAGCAAACCGCAAGAAAATAAGTTGCGTAGTTTTAAAGATTTAAGCATAGGTACATTTGGACAGAAAAGCGACTTAGTTTTTTACTATCAAAAACTTTTTTACTTCGATAAAACATATGCTTTGACTTTGACTTGGGCTTTGAAGGCGTCAAAATTGACATTATTTCACAAATTACATGTTTCCATATCTAAACAATACAAATTAATATGTTCATTAGTTCTGGTGCAGATTGAGCGTGTATAATTGCGAGTGCCGTCGCGGTGCCGATGCGAGCAATTTTCAATTTGGCCGCATGGTGGCGCCACCTGCGTGTGTTCGTGCAATATTAATACTGGGACGATGTGCAGTGCTATGTTCAGGCCGAGAGATAGGAGACTATTGTCTTTTGTCGTGTTCAGGTTACAAGTAAACAGTTGTTTGTCTCGGAATTTAAGTTAAAGGATTTTTTTCTCCTTTAGATCCCCCAAGAATATTGGTATATAATTTGACTCGCCTACTCTTTGAAATGTAAATGACAATCAATCAAATCTTTTTTTTTACAATTAGTATATATAGCATGATTGTTGAAATCATCCAAGTAGAAGGAGTTAAATATTTTTTTAAAGCTTGTGATTTTTTTTCGTATCATTCTGGTGCGTCAATAAATGGTTCTTTGTATGATTGCGATCAGTTTTTAAGCTGCCATTTAAGACATGAGTAGGAATGATACTACACATTCGGTGTTTGGCTTTTATTTTGATTAATATTCTTCTTGTAGTCCCTAGCTCCTGGACTAGGGAGCGTGAATGGAATTCCTACATAGGGAATTGCCACCACAACTTGTTACAATACATGTGATATTATATGGAACATACAAACGACTAATGTTTTATCATTTTGTTATTTTGTTTTGTTTATGTTTTCCTCTGAATATGCCAGAATATACTCACATGGAGAACCTATGAGCATAGTATAAGTTTTAATTTACCAACTCATATTTCTAACAATCTGACTCACATTATCGTGTGACAAATACTTGAAAATATACTCTGATTGCTTGCATTTAGAGTAAATGTTTCTTTGTACTCAGACAGTAGTAAATCTAACTGTACAAAATCGTTTAAAAGCACGGAGATTTAAAACTTCTACTGGACGAGTAAACTAATTAAAGATTTTTCCGTGAATAAAAAGAATTTCTTGAACATTTCTCAAAGCCTGTATGTAGGATAAGCCTTGAGTTGAGGTAACCGACAAACTTCTTACAGTGTATAAAAAATATCGAGATGGACCGAAGCGGGCGAATTAAGTTGGTGATGCAATGAGAGTGATGTTTGATGATGGTGGTTTTAAAAAATAATGTTTTCAATTGACTCTTACATTTGTAAGTAGGTACCTAAACGAGTTTTATGAAATTACTTAAATAAATTTTATTTAAATAGATCAATGTTACACATTTGTGTGACGATGTCAGCTGTCATTAATTTTTTCATGATTTTTACTTTTCGAACGCGGCTATTTCTAATTACTATCAACAGTGATCGATTGGAAGGGATAACATTAGACAGAAATGACATTGAGATCCATAGTGGTATTTTTTTTTTAAGGAAAGATATCTGGTCGGCGGTGCATGATTCAGTTTCTTTTCCTGTTCAGCCTGGAAGTGGTACGTCATTGTGGTATATTGCCATAATTGTAATTTTATAAAAATGTGTTGCACATTAGTGTGAGTATAAAACCTTTTTCAGTGTGAGTATGAAAAATGTCCAATCTATCAGAAAATAGGTATTCAATATTTATTTCGAATTGTACTACTGCTTTTAATGCCTGCGCTCAAATTTCGCAAATGCAAAACAATAATCCTAAAAGCCTGTTTGCCAAAATAAAATACCATGTTTTTTTATAAAGAATTCCAGATCTGATTGTTGCTAAATTAAATCGATTTATTTTTTGGAAACGTGGCGATTAAAGGTAATTCGAAATAAAGACTAACATTAAATGTCCTCTTAAGTACCTAAAGCAAACTAGCAGTAGGCACTCTGTTCTCTAAATGACAACTACAGAGCTTTTAAGGTTTAGCTGTGGTTGCGGGGTAAGCGGAATAAGGTACCGCCACTTCGACTTGAAGCAGAAAAAAGAAGGAGGAAGGAAATGCTGGTTGGTGAAAGGTGAATAAGAGACTGACTCTCCCTCCTGCCTCAATCTGAGCGAGAAGAGTTAATTCATAATTTTCCCCTCACAAACAAAACTTAAATAATATAATTTTTGGTTATTATCTATACTAATATTATAAAGAGGTAAAATTTGTAAGTTTGTATGTAGGGGGTAATCATTGGAACCGCTGGTCGGATTTCCAAAATTGTCTCGCTGATATAAAACATCACGCTACGATTAAATGGAGCCAAGCAGCGGGTGAAACCGCGCGAGAGTAGCTAGTTCTAGTTGGAAAAAGACTTGTGTTAAAAAACATATGTAGTAAATCCAATTAATAAAAATACAGTATACACAAACGTCTTGCTTCTAAAGAAACGCTCTGAGTGTGCCAACAACTGAATACTTAATAATTTATTTAAAAACACTTCCAATGTTGTCTTTTTATTATCTGGCCTGCCTCAGTATTCCCGTTTTGCCTGGTTATAATGTCTTGTGCTTCGGAATAATCCACATTATGACGGCCTAGCCAGGGCACGCAGTAACGAAGGTTTTTGAGAAATTATTAAAGGATTTATTTTATAAGTTTCTGCCCTTGTTTCAAGGGAGATTTACGGGTTTCTGTAAATATTTTAGTTAGGTACGTTCCTTTATATTAATGTTGGTTATGATATTAACTTTACTCATGTTTGCTATGTTTTTGTTCTGTTGCTATGTACAAAGAGTTGTGTGATATAAAGTATTTAAGTGTTGATTCTGTAGTCAATACTAGGAATATTTTGGCTTATGTCTTTGCACATGTATAACTTGGTGCTTTTGTTATTCGTCAGGTTTGATTTTTTTATGTAATAATCGGTCGGCAAAGGAGCAGACGGGTGACCTGATGGTAAGCAATCAGCGCCGCCCATGGACACCCGCAACGGAGGAGTTACGAGTGCGTTGCCGACAAAAAATAAAAAAACATGATTTATTGTCACTATACAGTAGTTATAATTAATATTTATCACTCACCTACTGCTACAAAATAGCAATACGCTAAACGATGATATTCATATATATTTTTTTATAGACATTTTTATTGCAAATATTTTTATTAAAATACTTTTTAAAAGCGTATAATTTATCAGGATCAATTCAAACCCTCAAATTTAAAACCCCAATCAAAATTCAGAAAGAGTTTTTCCTTTAAACAAATTACACATTCCGTGTCGTTGCCAAAGTTGGTGTAAAGTCGAGGATTATTTAAATTTTTCAAGATTATCGCTTCTTTGCCATTTATAACTGGCGTCTTATCTGATCCCGGCTCAGTGATGGACTTCCCTCAAAAGGTGGACTGGATAAAACTTGTGCATGACGTGAATGAACTGTCGAATATCTTAACTGTTGTTTGAGGTATGAAATTCCTGATTTTTTCGAAGGAATGTTTGGCAAACGAGCATGCAAATCACCTGATGCTAATCAAGCAAGACCGCCCTCTTTACTCGTAACTTCGCATAGTTAGTTTGTACGTTGTCGATTTCAGCAAAATAGTCAGAACACAGTAATATAATAATGTTAATTATATAACTCAGTGCTGAATAGTAAACGTAATATGGACAAGACCAAGAGAATGAAATATGACCAAAGACTTCCATTGCATTATATGAGAAGTAATTTTAAGGCATTTCTAAATTCCATTTAAATATTTTGTCGGTCGAAGCACCAAATACCCTGAATATAGTGCTAATCCTTGCTACTTTAGGTATCCGTAATTTATCTGTTTATCTATATATATATATATATACATAGATACATACCAATTACATACCAATAACAATTACATACACATATTATGTAATTGGTCTGCAAACGAGCAGACGGATTACCTGATGGTAAGCAATCAGAGCCGCCCATGGACACCCGCAACGGAGGAGTTACAAGTGCGTTGCCGACCTTTTAGGGTTAGGGATTAGGAGATTTAGGGATTGAGGAGGGATTGGGGGCGGGGAAGGATTGGGCCTCCGGTAACCTCACTCACACGGCGAAACACAACGCTGTGGTTGTTTCACGCCGGTCTTCTGTGAGGCCGTGGTATCACTCCGGTCGAGCCGACCCATTCGTGCCGAAGCATGGCTCTCCCACACTTTATTTTTTAGTAAAATATTATCTATATTTTAATAAAAAATAAAACAAAACACTGTTATCAATTCTCACAGAACATAAATAAGGTTTAAAATCTTAAATTCAAACATTTAAATTTAAATTCATTCATCTCGAACCAAAAACTGCAATGTTAATCACCGTTTAATCCTAAAAAGATAATCTAAATCTGCTAAAAGATAAGATAGAGGGTGTTGTAAATGTTCATAATATATTTCGATTTACATTTACATAAAACAATTGTGGATCATAGCGGGAATTAATCAGTTAAATGGTCTCATTTACAAGTCAAAAATGATTATGGTGCTGACAATAAAGTTTATTGTCGCATTAATTCAACTACAAAAGTTATTTGTGTTGCCAAATGTTTAGTAAATTTATATTTTGTTCAATTGTTCGTTTGTCAATTGGTGCAATTGAAATAGAACTGTATTTTGATATTATGCTCTTAATTACTATTAATTATTTTAATTATTTATTTCAGACCAGATATCCAGACAAAAGTGTTAAGTAGTGTAGAATTGGGGTTCCTGGATCAAAAAATCCAGGAACCCCAATTCCACACATGAAATATACCTACTAGACTATCAATCAGTTGGGGCTAATCGTAAACTTATGATTCAGTTTGTAATATTCAGACTGGTTTGATTTTAAGAGCAACTGTTTTAATTCATTTAAAAACTGGCACAATATACCTACTAGACTATCAATCAGTTGGAGCTAATCGTAAACTTATGATTCAATTTGTCTGGTTAAACTGGTCTTCAATCAGTCTGCCTATTTGTAAGTAGGTATAATCTTCGATTGACATATGTAATGAACTGGCCAAAAAAAAGCTCCTATAATTGAAATATGTGCATAATGAATAGGTAATAATAAACTTAACAAAAGAATGCAGCCGTCTTCCAAATTAGGAATACAAGCATACCTACGGTTCGCTATAAGTATACAGCCAAGCGCCACACACGATGATAACTTATATAATATGGATTAATTATGATATCGAAATGACGGATCCTATTCTTCACTCCATTGTTATTGATATTGTTTATTTATACATTTTTATACATATGAAACGATGAATGCATATACTTCTGAACTGATTTCAATGAAGAACTTAATATACCCCTTCGATATAACAACTTAATAATAATTAATCATTATTTCCATTGGTATTTATTTTATAAGTGCATTCTATATTCCACTGCATCGTCTATTCAGCACATAGCAGCCCTGAAATTATAATGCGCTCAGATGAATTCCATAGTCGCCTTATATAGACTGTCGACATACTTACAGCACTTTATGCGAATTGATTTATTATCAACCTTTTTACTGGCTCATTTCAGCTGAGAAGCCAAGGGCCCTTATCCTTCTAAAAGAAAGAGTAATTAAGCCTTTGTCTATAAAACTGGACAATTATAGGTCACCAGCTTACAAAACCCTAAAGGATATAGTGACATGGATAATTTATACTTACAAACAACCATTACCAAATTACCAACCGCAAATCCATACACCTTTACCTTACCTCCGTGATAACTTCGTGATAACATCCAGGCTAGGCTCACTCATATGATTTTTCGAACATGTGAATGCAGTCAGTCGTGCGTTCCGGGTTCAAACCCTACACTTTTTATTGGAATTTAGGAATCAAAACTACTGGATGATAAATAAAATGTATCGTAAGAGGTTATAAAAATCATCATTTCAGTAGAAGGTTATTAAAAAAATACTATTGAATAATAATTGATTGAACTTTATTTATGGCATTATATCTGACACTTTTAAAGCAATTTCTTTAACAGATTTATAAATATCGTCCATAAAAACATTTTTAACCACATGCTGCACACATAACTCAGCATCACAATTGCATAGTGAACTTATATGATCAGGGAAGTTTTCGGTATCATAAATCTCGATCCTTATAATTTTAGCACCTCGTGTAAGTTTTTTTACAGAGGTAAATGCAGCCGTTGAAGATTTTTTCAGTTGCTTGCTGCTAGGACCTTCTAGGTTCAACTGTTTATCGTTTTTTTGTTCCGCTACCCTGTTCATGGGAATGAAGTTGAACAGGTCGTTTTCATAGTCCTAAAAATAATAATAAGAATCAATATCAATTTGTCACTCATATTATAGGTATATATTATTTATAAATTCAAATGATCGTTATTAGAAGCGTGTAATATTGAATATAAATGTGTAACAATTATTAAGTTGCATTCAATCAATTAAGTTATTACATTAAAAAATTATATGATAATTAATTATATTTAAAGAAAATAACTCACCGACATATTTTATTTTAGGATAGAGTCTTTTGCCCCCGCTCGCTGATGGAATTAAACTAAATTATTTTTATTTTTTCGCATGATTATATCCTTTATATAGAATTTTAAAAATACATTTTAAAAGGGACATAAAGCTCAAATTTGCATCGAAATTATCAGTACTTTAAAAACATTGTAAATGTAATTCTACACTCTAGACAACACGGCGCTACATCGCTTCGGATTGCAATTAAACGTAATTTATTACATATATCGAAATCGGTTTTTGTGTAAGTTTGTTCATCCATACTAATAAACTAGCTTGCCCCGCCACTTCACTTGTGTATATATAATAGTTGATATATTATGTATTCTCTAATGAAAAAAAATATATAACCTCCTTTTTGAAGTCGGTTAGAAAGCAATCTTTCGAGCTTTATGAGGTAAATGGTGACAGATTTGTATACATACTATTATATTTGCTTACCAACGTAAAGGAGGAGACAAACCCAGGTGTAATAAGTATGTATTATTTAATCTGAATGAGATCTACATTTCAGTGTTATTAAATTATATTATGTCTTAGATGAAGTAGATAAAGTTGATATTGCATGATCTCGGTATGTTGCTAAGTTATTTTTCTGCAACTTAAACAATTTCGTATTTGGGTGGTAGATCTGACAAAGCATTTTAGCAAACCCGTGCCCTATTCCCTAATTGGTATACCGTCACGTGGATATAGTGCTATTTAAGAGATCATCTGCAGGGACTGGATCATAACAATTCTTCAGCTAGAAGCAGTCACATCCAAATTTGGAAGGAAGTACCTAAAAACCACCAATCTTCTAAAATGTAAGTATTACCTGCTATACTTCATTCAGTGTTTCATTTCTTAATATTCAATCATTCAAGCTAGTTTCATTCATTTCTTCAATCACTCCATTCATAATTTATGTAAATGTTATCCAATATTTTTATTTGCTATGTCCAAACACTGTTTATTTGTTTTATTTAGTATTCTGTCAATCATGCTTACTCAATATGTTCATTCATGTTCCTCATGTTTCATTTTATTATTATTCAATCATTCAAGTTACTTTCATTCATTTTCTTCGATCACTCAATTCGCAATTTATGTGAATGTTATCTAATATTTTTTATCTTTATTTTCTAGGTCCAAACACACTGCTGACCATATTTTCCCTTCGGAGGACGAATCGTTGGACGAGGTGCAGATGAAGGCCAAACCAAAGGAAAACAAGAAACGTAAGTCGACGCCAACGCGCAGCCCCCAGCCGTCTACCAGTAAGAAAAGCAAGACAGTTATTCGCCCCATACCTCCTGTTACCAAGTCTACGGCTCGCGAAGTATTTGGGAGTGACAGCGACGACGACGCGGTAGACGTACCCGCGGAGAAGAAGCCTCCGGTTATTTACTCCTACGTCACAAGGAGACTGGCCAATGGCTTTTCTCGTCAAATAGATGAGAATAAAAAAGGTGCGTTCTACATTGAACTTAAGGTTTACAAGTGTGATGAGATAGAGCGGATTCAACCCGTGAATAGGTGGCGTCACTCAGTGATCACTATAAAAAATAAAACGGACGAAGATTCTGAATCTTGGCGGCACTTGAATGAATTTATTATAAGTACTAGGCGGGAGTTCAAACGCTGTACTCCAACGTTTATAAGTTCATACCAGTAATTAAGTACCTATGTATTATACTCAATTATTGGTACGAGATATTATTACATGTAATCAGTTATTTTATAACATATATAATCATATATTAATCATAGGTACTCCTACATATTACATTATATACAGTGAATTAGTTTTTAAGTTTTTTTGTAACCCACTATCTCTTAATTAAAGTATTTAGTACGATAAAAATGTGTTATATTTATTTTGTTTCCAGTTACACAAGCCAGTAATGCGACACCAGCAAGTTCAGATACTTATAATGATTTATACGAAACTAAGATCCCAGAACATGAATATGAAACGAATATTAATGAGACTAATTGTTTATTAAAAAGATATTGTGAGAAATGTAAAATTGAGATCCCCGAACATAAATACAGATACCATAAGAGAACGAATATCCATAAATCAAATTGTTTAGTAAAGTCAAATTTTGAAAATGTTGATATTATAGCTACTGCATTTAAAAACCGGATTCTGACTTATCGCTTAAATCCATCTATAGGAAATGAGTACCTCACACCAGAGGCGTTCTTAGATGAAAAGCGAAAAGATGTTTATAATATAATTAAAATGTTATTAATGAGACATAACTGCATTAAAGTTAATTTCGAGCTGTTTGCTTACTTTTTACTGCCTACGTTAGGTGAGCAACAGCTTAAGTCATTTAATACTAAATATGAAATTATATATAATAATACTGATTTTGATGAGACATATTTGAATGTAATAGAAACATTTAAAAGAAAATTTACCGAATTTGAACATTGTCAATCCGGATGGTCATTTGTTTCAATAAATCATTTAGAAATAAATATAAATAAATATTGCCCCATGCGGGGTGGTACTTATTTAGAGCTACCAGATGTTATTAAAAACACAAAGAGCTGTTTGAATATACATAATAATGATGAATACTGTTTTTTGTGGAGCATAGTTGCAGCACTATATCCAGCTAAAAATAATGTTTGCAGGGTCAATTCCTATCCACATTTTAGTAAAGTACTTAATACACAAGGAATTTCATTTCCACCTTCACATAAAGATATAAAATTATTTGAAAAAAATAATTGTGACTTGAGTATTAATATTTATGGATTTGATAAACATTGTACTATAACTGGCCCTATTTATGTGACGAATTGCAGGAAAGATAAACATATTAACTTACTGTACTTTGAAAAACATAATAAAGGTCATTACTGTTTGATAAAAAATCTGCTACGTTTAGTACGACGACAAGTTTCATGCCATAAGGGACGAATGTATTTATGTGAGACATGTTTACAATTTTTTACTTCTGAAATGAAGTATAATTCTCATAGTTGCTCTAAAATTTTAACCGTACTACCTGATAAAAACAGTACATTAAAATTCAAAAATTATGAGCGAAAGCAAAAAATTAATTTTGTAATATACGCTGACTTTGAAAGTATATTGTTAAACTGTAAAATGGAACAGAATGATAAAAATACAATAAAGAATAAACTACATCAACCGTCCTGTTTTGCATTCTACGTGTGTTGTTCTCATGATAGCAGCTTAAATAAATTTGTATCATATAGAGGACCTGACTGTGTAGAAGTATTTATTAAAAGATTGATTGAAGAAGCGAAATTAATTCATAACATTTTATTAACAGAGAAACCTATGAGACCAATGACAAGAGATCAGACTGATAATTATAATAATGCAACTACATGTCATATTTGTAATGATTTATTATTTGGTGATAAAGTTTGTGACCATGATCATATAACATCTGAGTACAGAGGTGCGGCACACTCGCAGTGCAATTTAAATTATACAGTTTGTCCCTTTATACCCGTTATATTTCACAATTTAGTTGGTTACGATTCTCATATATTTATAACTGAATTATCGAAATATGAAGGTGAGATAAGAATTATAGCAGAAACTAAAGAAAAATATTTAACCATAACAAAAATAATAAATACCGGTAAAGGATGCAAACCAATACAAATTAAATTTATAGACTCGTTTAAATTTCTTAGTTCAAGTCTTGACAACTTGAGTAAAAGTTTAACGGAGAATGATTTTATTCATTTATTCACACACTTTCCGGACAAAAATCAATTTAATTTAATGCGAAAGAAAGGTATTTACCCATATGAATATATTTGTACATGGGCTAAATACAATGAAACACAACTCCCTGACAAGGATAAATTTTATAACTCTTTACAAATGAAACACATAACTGATGATGAATATGAACATGCTCAAATTGTGTGGAATCTTTTTAATATTACTTCTCTTGGTGAATATACTGACTTGTATTTAAAGTGTGATGTACTATTATTATGTGATATATTTGAAAACTTCAGAAACATTTGTCTCCAGCATTATAAACTTGATCCTGCATATTATGTAAGTTCACCTGGATTGAGTTGGGACGCTATGCTCCTTTACACAGGTGTTCAGTTAGAAATGATTCATGACTTAGAAATTTACGAAATGTTGGAAAGAGGAATACGAGGAGGGTTAGCTCAATGTTCTCACCGATATGCCAAAGCTAATAATGTTTATTTACCTCATTTCGATAATTCAAAGCCATCAACATATTTAATTTACTTAGACTGTAATAATCTTTACGGATATGCTATGACGAAAAAATTACCCGTTTCAGAATTTAAGTTCATGACCGATAATGATATGAAATATTTCAATGTGCTTAATATTCCTGATAATTCAGAGTTCGGTTACATTTTAGAAGTAGATATAACGTATCCAAATCATTTACATAATTTACATAGTGACTTGCCTTTTGCTCCAGAGAAATTCACTCCTATTGGAGGGAAAACGCAAAAATTAATCGCAAATTTGTATGATAAATATAATTACATTATTCATTATGTTCATTTAAAAGAATGTCTCAAAAATGGTTTGCTTTTGAAAAAAATTCATAGAATCCTTTGTTTTAGACAAGAAAGTTTTTTAAAAAAATATATAGATTTGAATACTAGACTACGGCAAGCAGCTTTAACTTCATTTGAAAGAGATTTTTTTAAATTGTTTAATAATTCAATTTTTGGAAAAACAATAGAAAATAAACGAAAGCATGTCGAAGTGAAATTAATAAGTAAATGGAGTGATTATTCGAACAAAACGAACAAAATAGTAGGTGCTGAGAAATTAATCGCAAAACCTAATTTAAAAAGTATTTCTGTATTTAATGAAAACTTTTTAGCTATACAACTCAGTCCAGAAAAACTTGTATTAGATAGACCAATATATGTTGGATTTGCGGTATTAGAATACTCTAAACAACATTTGTACAATTTTCATTATAATTTTATTAAGAATAAATATGGTGATAAAGCTAAATTGTGTTACACTGATACAGACAGTTTGTTGTATTTAATTAATACTAACGACATATATAAAGATATACGAGAAAATTTAACAGAATTTGACACAAGTAATTTTGAATCTAACAATAATTACTGTATTCCAAAGGTCAATGAAAGAATACCTGGTTTATTTAAGGATGAATTAGGAGGTGACCCAATTATTGAATTTATAGGCTTAAGAGCGAAACTGTACTGTATAAAATCACTAAAAATGCAAATTAATAAAGCTAAAGGTGTATCAAAACCTATAACCAGGAGTTTAAAATCACGTAACTATAAGCACGTTTTATTTAAAAATTTTACTTTAAAGCGTAAAATGAATATGATCAGATCAATGAAACATGTGCTATTCTCAGAAGCAGTAAATAAAGTAGTCTTGAACAGAATAGACGATAAAAGGCAAATTTTAAGAAATCAAATTGACACTGTACCTTGGGGTCATTGTAATCATGTATGCTAACTAATGTTATACACTAACGACTTTTATAATTTTAATAATAAAAATTATTGTGCTTTATGTAATAAAATATATATGGAAATAAATTATTATGATATAAATTATAATTATATGTGTTTTATTTAATTACCTACTGAGGATTTGATATTTATGATATATAAAGTGATTTTATAATGTATATGCGATGCATGAAAATAGCCTCCTCGAGTAATGTTAAGTACATTCGGCATATCCCGGGTGATTAATTTCGATAATATCTTGATTGACTGGCTAATATCTTTCATCAGTTGATTTTATTCTTATATGAAATAAAGTCTAAGCTGTATGAAAGAAAAAGAATAACCTGATCTCTTGTAAGTATATAAATACCAGAACAAACATTATTTATGTCAGACACAAAAATGAAGTGGATTAAACACCCGGTATCCTTAGCAGTTAAAAATATTGATGTGAAGGAGAATACGCCGCACCCGAAACATAGCGTACTTCTCCCGAATAACATCCGCAGTATAATATGTGGTCCTTCTAATTGTGGAAAAACTAACGTCATGTTAAGCTTATTAATTCATGAAAATGGGCTAAAATTTCAAAACATATATTTGTATTCCAAAACAAGCTCACAATCAAAATATCGCTTTCTCAAACAAATTCTGGATAGAATTCCAAGTGTGAAACTATTTACTTTTAAATTCGATGAAGATGTGATTCATCCTAATGATGCATTACCTAATTCTATAATAATATTTGATGACGTGGTTGGTGAAAAACAAATAAATATACGTAATTATTTTACGATGGGAAGGCACAGAGCAATAGATTGTTTTTACTTATCTCAGACTTATTCAAAAGTACCAAAGCAGTTGTTACGCGACAATGTTAACTTTCTGATTATCTTCAAACAAGATGATATAAACTTAAAACATATTTATGATGAACATGTCAGTTCAGATATGGAATGGTCCAAATTCAAACATCTCTGTTCAAAAGTATGGTTGGGTCCATACGATTTTTTGACTATCAATAAAGACTGTGATTTGAAACATGGCAGATATAGAAAATCATTTGATAATTTCATTAACTTTGAATAATAAATAAATGTATCTTTTATCTGCCATGTACCTAATGACTGCTTCACAATTACATAGGAAGTGCATGTAGAAAATATATGG